GATTTCAAGATTCATTAATGAAAAAATTACCACAAGCAACAGTCGAGGATCAAACAAAAAAGAAACTAGAACAAGAACAGAAAAATATTGAAATTAATGATAAAACTGAAAAAATTGTTAAGAAAAATAGTAAGATCTTTTTTGGCGAGAAATAATCTGATATTCTTACTACTTTTTTAAATGCTCCAATAGCACCTTCACTTAAAATTGACGCCAATTTGGAAGAATTTCGAGTGATACTTGCATCCAAAAGAGCAAAATTATTTGATATTCAAGTTCAAGGTTAATTAAATTAGTTGTTTTTTCTATGAATTCAAGTTCTATTCGCATTGAATTTAGGTATCAAAGCTAACATTTCTCAAGCACCAGAAAAAACATTAATCAATTTGATTCTATCGGATTTACGTGTTCTTGATCCATACAAAAAAGCACGATATCAACAAGTATGAGAAATATTGAGATTAAAAGTAATCTTAAATAATTTCTTTGTTTTATTTAAGATTATTTCTCAACAAGGTGATGACAAAGAATTACTTCGTGTTGATTTATCCTTATTTAATTATCCGGAAGAATATATAAAAGGTGTCGATGTTTACGACTGTGACGTTCAAGTTCAATTTGCAAAAGCTACGATTGTCTTTCTATTTAAACACATCGATGCCATACTAGTAAGAATCTTCGAAAAAACTATTTTAGTTTAAATATTTTGTTTGAAGGGTTTTCTCAACTCATTAAATCTAACTAAAGCAGCACTTAGTCTAGCATCAACACAAGCTAGTGCTGCTTATGAACAAGTACAAAAATTACAAGAACAAGCATTTAAAGTTCATCTTGATGTTACATTCAATGCTCCGAATATAATCATTCCAATAAATTCCTATTCAGATCAAGCACTTTTTCTTGATTTAGGTAAATTAACATTAAAAACTAATTTTTATGATGATCCAGAAAAATTTCTTGTTGAACAACAAACTGTTCAATTGGAAAATATTCTTGCTAGTCGTATTAAATTTGATCAGGATTGTAATATAATTGGTGAAGTAATTCTCATTGAATGTGCCGAATTAAATACATCTATAAATCGTTTACTCTATCCAGATAAAGTTAAAACGGAACCAGCAATTTCAATTAAAATCGATTGGGAATCAGTTAATGTAATAATGTTTTTATATATTTCTCTATTTATAGTTCAAGTCTTTTGTTTTTTTTTTGTTTTTTTGAATAGTTTCAATTAGCCAACGATGATTATACATCTGTTATGAAAGTTTTAATGGAAAATTTCTCGGAAAATATTCGTGATCAAATACCCGAAAGTTTTCAAAGTGATCAATTTTATTATAAAGAAGCTGAACAAGAAAAACAAGAAGATCAATTGATAGATGATTTTATCAAGAAACAAAAAGGTTTGTTAAATAAAATTTTATCATTTATCGAATAATTGAATCATTGAATGTATCGATGTTTCTTTTAGAATTACACACTGATGAAGTTTTACAAACATTAAAGATGAAAGCCGAAATTAAGAAAATGACATTGACACTTTATCTTGGTGAATCAGATTTGGTTAGTTTCGATTTTCTTCTAGTTTTTTTTTAATCATTAAGTATGTCTTTCATCTCAAAATTATCATCACTATAAATTAACTTTCGTTAACTTTCTTTCTCATAATAATTCTATCTTTAAACTAGTACGAGGTGATCACTGCACTTTTAAAGTTAATATTATATGAAAGTTGATTACAACATTTGCTTTTTTTTAATTTATATTTTATTAGACTGTTCGTCGTGCACCACGTGATGATAAATTAAAATTAGCCAACGTTCAAATAGACACACTGGAAGCAGTATTTCGTCAACAATCTGATGGAGGTTATAAAGCAACAGGACGTGTAAAAAACTTCTTACTAGATGATTTACGTGTAATGAATAAGCCAACAAGTGTAACACGTTTGATGGATAGACATTTTACAGTTGATCCTAATACTCATATGTTTTCTGCATCGTTTGAATTCAAACCAAAAAATCAAACGTGTGAAACAGAACTTCGAAAAAGTAAATGAAAATCGTTATTTTTATAGACTTTTGTGTCTTAATTCTTCATTATTAGTAACTGCACAACTTGAAAGTCTATATATTTGCGTAAATTTGAATTATTTAATGACGTTACAAGACTTTTTTATTTCTGGTTTACCATCGGGTAATGCTGAAACTCAACAAGCCATAACAAAAGTTGACCAATCTGAAAACGATCAGAATCAAATGAAAACAACAGTAGTCTCTGCAAAATCATCACAATGTATTAGAAGTTTTCTTCAATAGACATATCTTCATATTGAATATTAATCTTTTGATTTGTAGCTACAACAACTCAGACTTCAAATGTAAATGTAGAAACTCGACTTGAAATTTCTGTGAAAAATCCTGAAATTATTTTACTTGAAGATTATCATAATTCAAATTCGAATTGTCTCGTACTTGCTGTAAGTTTTATTCAATATCTTCAAAGTATATTTTGTTAATTATTCATACTTTAGTTGGCATTACAAATGCGTATGATACAGATTGATAATGAGATAAAATTATATGGCTGGTTAAAAGATTTAACAATTTATAGTTCAAATTTTGCGGAATTAAAGGATACGAAGAATTCGAGTTCGAAAATCAAATATCGCGTAAGTTGAATATAATAATTTATTCTTTCAATATTTGAGTTTTTTTTTATAATAAAGATTTTACAACCAGCTAAAGCTGATATATTTCTTTCAATGAATAATGAACAACAAAAAATTGATGTACGAATATCAGATATTATTATTAGTATTGCACTAGCTGCTATTCGAACAATGATTAGTGTGACAAATTCATTAGGAATGCGACAGGTAAACAAGAGAAATCAGTTAAATTAAATAATAATATTATTATTATTATTATTTGTATTTAGTCTACTATGCAAGAGGAAACAGAAAAATTAAGTTCGAAAGGTTTATTTACTTCAAAATCATTCAAAGAAGGTGATTTCTGGTTTACAAAAGGTATTATGAAATATTTTGCATCAA